ATCATATCTTTAAAAAAATGTTAACAATTTTGATGTTTTCTTTCGTTAGGTGTTGTAGTATTTAGACTTGAATGCTTGATTTTATCGAAACAGGTTGTTCTTGGTTTTGCAAACTGTGGACAGGCAGGTGTCTAAAAGCTTAAACAGACGCCAGCGTTGATCCGGATTAACTCGGACTTGATTCGTATCAACTGCAGTTAATTCCCGAGTTGATCCGGATCAACGCTGCCATCTGTTTATGGTTTAAGATGTCGTATCTGACTTGATCTGCCTTAAAAAAGCCTTCTTTCAGGGTCCATCTTGATAAAATTAGGGGTTCTTCGGTGACTAACCTTGCTCACCGATCGGCGGCTTCGTTTCCATCTATACTTATCTGGCTATAGATACTGAAATTCTTCTCAATTGACTGAATTACTCTATTAAATCGGTATATGAGCCGTTTGTTTTCACAGTGGCATAAGTCACTACACACCCCCTGTACTTAAATGCCCGGTTACTTGTATCTAGACGCGCCGGTTATCTGTTCAACTTCATCAACCAAAGGTAAAAGGCTTTGTCATTAGTTTATGACGATAGAAAGATGCATTCGGTTACAAGTACCCGGTCACTTAAGTACAGCAGGTGTGAAGTGACTTATGCCACTTTTTGAAAACAAACGGCTCATATGCTGTAAGTAATATTTAATGCATTTGACCAGATTTTAAAAATGTACTAAATCTTAAAGTTATGAACCAGTGTACCAAACTGACAAGAAATTACCAAAAATTACAAGAAATTACTCCGTTTGTGCGTCGTTTAACTTTTTTTCAGAATGGTGCGCACTTACATTAACTTCTAAGTATGAATATAACTACATATATATACATACATATGTACATGCATATATATGTACACTCATCCATAGCCACATACACGATGTATCTGTATTTCTTCAGCCAACCGGTTTTGAAGTTGGTAACAAAATACTCGAAAGCAAAAAAAGCCGGTGATAAGTCGTTTGCATTCATTTTCGATTGTCATCAACTTTTGTA